TTCCAGAGTAAAAGCGTCCCCACACGTACGCGACGCGGTAGGAGAAGCTGGAGCTGGCTGGGCATCTTCCCTGGCACATCGACACCACAGAATACTATGTAGCCTAAAAACCAAAAACCAGAAAGATCAAATGCAGTCTTTAATGGTCCCATAGGGAACGAACACCAAGCTATCTCATTAAGCAAAGGCAAGACGTAACAGTGCCTACGGAGCCCTGCGAGGGCAGGAAACACAAGGATTTGTTGCACATGCACAAAACCCTCGTACAAGGATTCCTGAAAATGAACATCATCTGCAGGGGCAGCTGGGTGGGTGGGAGGCAGGGGCGGGAGGGGGCTTTCCTCGCATGTCTGCTTATGCTTCCTAATTTCGAAAGCGTAGTGGCGTTACTTATTCACGAGCCGGAATGAAAGCTCTCGAGGCGGCAGGCACACTTGGGCACACAAGCCTGCCCGGGCATCCTGGTTTCTGCAGAGCTTGTCCCCCTTCCCTGCAGCCGTGCGTCAGGAAGAGCAAACGCGGGTCAGCTCTGTTGTTACTGCTGCTCCACAATAGGAAGAGGGAGGCTTGGCAGAGGCCCAGGGCAGGAAGACATGATATCGAGTGACTCTAAAGGGCTCTTTTGTTTCCGGAAAGGCAGTGGTTTCCACTCAGCATCCCCGCCCCCCTCACAGCCTGCTGTCTCTGGGATCCCCTCGCCACCTGCTGCGAAAACATCATTTCTCCCCCGGAAGAGCCCCTGGGCTTGAGGTTGGGGAGGGGAGGAGGGCACTGGCTGGGAAGGGGCATCATCCTCTCTTCCCAAAGGATGTCATTCATTCCCAGAAAGTCATTTCCAGAGGCATGATGCCACCCTGCCAGCTGCCCTCCAAATCCTGGCATCCCCAGCCCGTGTGTGGCACACAGCAATATGAGTGAGGACGTAGAGCAGGCGTGTGTTTGCACAAGCGTGGATCCACCTGGGCACATCTGCAGCCATGCTCTGGCAGCCACTCACTGGTTCGTTAACTCTCTCAGCAGATGTTCCATATGGAGTGTCCAGCCCCTTACTCACAACACCACCTGTTGTTCCCCCTATATTGACCACTTTAACTTAAAATTAGCTTTTAAAAGAATGGCAGCAATTTTAACTTAGGGTCAAATAAGGGCATACAACAAATGAGATAATAATTTCAATCTCTCTATTCATGAATGAAATAAGTGGTTATGAGGACAGGTAGTATGTTTCTAGTCCCCCTTACCATGGTAAGGAAATTTCCCTCCCACAATAAACCCTGGGAGTTATCCTTGGTATACAATCCTTCCAAAGGTTTAAATCTCATGATAACAGCCCCGCTAGAAAGCAAAACAAAACACAAAGAAATGGCAAAACTCGAGAAACTGTAAGTATGACACTTTTCATATCCTGAGTCTGTTTCTCTTTGACACACACATTAGCTTTATGGCAAGTTCAGTTCAGTTGATGGGCAAAGCCATGGTCTAAAAGTACACACACACTCAGTCCTTCATGTCTATGGGTTTCTCATTCAAAGATCTGACCAACTGTAATTGTGACATGGGAAAGAGATGGTTCCCTAAAAGAGAGAGGCTAAAATAAATTTAATTTCCTCGCATGTCTGCTTATGCTTCCTAATTTCGAAAGCGTAGTGGCGTTACTTATTCACGAGCCGGAATGAAAGCTCTCGAGGCGGCAGGCACACTTGGGCACACAAGCCTGCCCGGGCATCCTGGTTTCTGCAGAGCTTGTCCCCCTTCCCTGCAGCCGTGCGTCAGGAAGAGCAAACGCGGGTCAGCTCTGTTGTTACTGCTGCTCCACAATAGGAAGAGGGAGGCTTGGCAGAGGCCCAGGGCAGGAAGACATGATATCGAGTGACTCTAAAGGGCTCTTTTGTTTCCGGAAAGGCAGTGGTTTCCACTCAGCATCCCCGCCCCCCTCACAGCCTGCTGTCTCTGGGATCCCCTCGCCACCTGCTGCGAAAACATCATTTCTCCCCCGGAAGAGCCCCTGGGCTTGAGGTTGGGGAGGGGAGGAGGGCACTGGCTGGGAAGGGGCATCATCCTCTCTTCCCAAAGGATGTCATTCATTCCCAGAAAGTCATTTCCAGAGGCATGATGCCACCCTGCCAGCTGCCCTCCAAATCCTGGCATCCCCAGCCCGTGTGTGGCACACAGCAATATGAGTGAGGACGTAGAGCAGGCGTGTGTTTGCACAAGCGTGGATCCACCTGGGCACATCTGCAGCCATGCTCTGGCAGCCACTCACTGGTTCGTTAACTCTCTCAGCAGATGTCCGAGTGCCTGCCATGTGCCAGACACTGTGCTACGGCCTTGGTGCATGCCTGGGAGGAGACGGACACGGCCCTGCCCTCATAGCGCTTGCAGTCCAGCAGGAAAAACAGACGGAAAGTGAAACACAACTCCTCCTACCTGTCAGGAGAAGTGGGAGGAAGTGTGCGTGGAACTGGGACACACGGTCCCGTCGGGGAGGTCAGGGAAAATTGTGCACAATGATCAGCTTTTAAGCTGAGTCTAAGAAATGTATAAGTGCAGAAATAATAAAGTGCAACGGGATTTTTCACAGTCAAGGATTCCACAGACCCAACTGCGAACGTGCTCTGTGTCCTTGAATAAACTGCATCCCCTTGATAATAAATCACTCAATAATAAAATTGCAAAAAAAAAAAAAACCTGTTAAAAAAAGGGGGGAAAAAGTCCAAAAACCCCAGTTGATACACTATCGCTTGTATTTTACCCCATTCACCTTATCAGTTGGGTGTGCCCTCTATCCATCCAATTTGCTCTGAGCAAGGGGAGGGTGCATCCCATATGTCATGACCTTCACCACCGAACGCTGAGAAGCACATGTCCACCAGCTCGATTTGCTGCTAGAGCGTGAGGAGGAGATCCCATGTCCTCTCAGTCTCCCAGGACGCATGAGACCCTGGGTGACCACGCTTAGGCACGTGGAACAAAGTGATCACTATTTTTTGGCAGATCTATTGGATTGTTGTGTGTGTTTGTTTAACACAGAGTGTGTGTACTTGCCAGAGAAAGAGACAGAGAGGGAGACAGAGAAAGTGAGAAACACTCCCCAGGGAGGAGGGCCACGCCGCAATCCCTTCTCCTCCATTTCTTTTGAGATTTTGGGCACACACACCTATGCACCCAGCTTGCTTTTCAAGCCACTGGGTCCAGCAGTCAGCCACGTGGGACCCAGCCACCTTAATCTCCACGCCACTGCAGGCTCCACACTTCTTAGATTTTAAAAATGAAAAGGAAAGTGTTTTCCCAGAGACGTGCCCAGTCTCAACTCCTCTGGAAGACAGCCTGCTCTTCAGCCAGACCGGGTGTGTGTGCCCGCGCGCTCCCCTGTGGGTTGAGTGGGGGCGGGAAGGGGGCAGCAGTGTTTCTCTGCAGCCCCGCCTCTGTCAGACAGCCAGGGCAGACCGGAGCAAGGGCATGTTCCAGGGAAGCACCGCCAAGGCAACTGTGGCCAGCACAGACAATGCTGGCCACCCCAGGGAAGGGCTCCTTGAGAAACACTCCCCAGGGAGGAGGGCCACGCCGCAATCCCTTCTCCTCCATTTCTTTTGAGATTTTGGGCACACACACCTATGCACCCAGCTTGCTTTTCAAGCCACTGGGTCCAGCAGTCAGCCACGTGGGACCCAGCCACCTTAATCTCCACGCCACTGCAGGCTCCACACTTCTTAGATTTTAAAAATGAAAAGGAAAGTGTTTTCCCAGAGACGTGCCCAGTCTCAACTCCTCTGGAAGACAGCCTGCTCTTCAGCCAGACCGGGTGTGTGTGCCCGCGCGCTCCCCTGTGGGTTGAGTGGGGGCGGGAAGGGGGCAGCAGTGTTTCTCTGCAGCCCCGCCTCTGTCAGACAGCCAGGGCAGACCGGAGCAAGGGCATGTTCCAGGGAAGCACCGCCAAGGCAACTGTGGCCAGCACAGACAATGCTGGCCACCCCAGGGAAGGGCTCCTTGTCCTTGAACTGGAACAGAGCCAGTGCAGAGTTGCTCAGGGCGGACAGACCTGCAGTCAGGGAGCTTTGGTCCTCACAGCAGGTTTGAAGACCATCCCCTTACTGAGAACGACACATTCACACCAGGGAGGGTGGTTACCAAGCGCAAGCTCACTGGCCCCCGGGGGACCGCCTCCTGGGAGTGTGTGACCTGCCGAGTCAAGAGCTGGCAGCGACAAGGCCCAGATCTACTGAGTCAGAACTTCTGGGCTCAGGGCCCGGAAGCGTGTATTTTTAAAAGCTTTCCAGGTGATGATCAATCAGGTTTAGCAACCACTGGTTTAAATATCTTCTGAGATCACTTCTAAAAACCTGCAATCTTTTGATGGTGTGAGTGGGAAGAGAGACCTAGAGGTAGAACAAATACAGACAGAATTCGACAACAGTGTGTTTGTCCCTGGAACCCCAGGAAGGCACTTGACAACAGCTTGTCCAGAGCAGAAACCTCAGGCCCTCCATGGGCGGCCTGTGTGTCTGGCAGGGGATGTGAACAGCTGAACCTCTGCGTGTGTGCGTGGTGTCTTCCCGCTCCTCTGGTGAAATGGCTCCTGGGTTGAGTCACATCACCTGTGTGTGACGTAGGCAGAGTCGTCCTGAACCTCAAGTTCTCCCTGAGCAGGGCAGAGGAAAATTCGGGAGCCAGCCCAGTTCTGCTCTCGGTGTGCTGGTGAACGTGGGCCAGCCCCCAGAGCACAGCTGTGACGAGGCCAGGTGCAGTCGGCCTGGCCCGCCTGAGCCGAGGGGCCAGCTGCTCCAGCCCAAATGAGGGAACAATCTCACCGGCCAGCCAGCCGTGCCAGCTCTGTGCCCTGACTCATCGGGCCCTCCCTGCAGCAGGCCTGGGACTTCCCCTCGGCCGCCTGGAACTTCTGGCCTGCGCTGTGCCTGCAGGGCTAGCTCATTTTCCCACCGCCTTACTGGGGCACTCTGCCTCACACTGGAGGTCTCTTCTTGAGTTTCTAGGCAAACACTGGGTCTCAGGGGCCCTGCAACCTTATCCCTCCTATCAAACTGTGAGACTCCCAGAGAGCCCCAACTGTGCCCCTCCCCGCCTGCCCCCCAGCACTCCACATGGCCCCAGGCTGACAGCAGGCACTGCGGAAGTGAGGGAGAGAGAGGAAGGAGGCCAGAGCACAGGGGAAAGGGGAAGGGAGAAAAGGAGGCAGGGCGCAGTAAATCTGCGATAAAACCCCCTTCTTAATTGACCCACCGCATGGGCTTTCTCCCCAGGACCTGTGCGAACCACTTCCCATCACCCCAGGACTGCTCTCGTTAGAGGAGTGTGAACTCGAGGAAGAGCAAAAAAAAGTGGACTCTTCAGTGATTCCCCAGACATCAGAGCCACCCACCCAGCCCACAGACGGACGACTGCCTGTGGGAAGAATCCGCATCCCATGTCCTCACGTGGCCTGTCCCTCAGGATCTAGCGGCAAAGGACCACTGCTTTGGTGAAGTCTCCCTGGAAGTTATGGCTCCCCCCCTCTAAGACGACACAGCGCCTCGCCCATCTGCTCTGATGGCCGGCCTGTGTCTCTTCCTGGTGACTCAGCCACGTGCGTACAGGCAGGGGCCGTACGAAGCAATCACAGAGCCTTTGCCGTCAGAGTCTCCCCAAAATAAAATCATATCTCCCTCTCACTGGCGGCTTCTTCTCACCTTGCTCACGTGAGATCAGTCGCGAGTTTGTTGTAGAGATGAGTGACGCAGTAGAGGCTTGGAGGCGTCTGCTATTCCCGGGTTTCCTCTCCGTAAGGCCCAGGGAAGGGTTACACTTCTCTGCACCTGCGTGAATTTAGGGGTGGCGATGTGACAGCCTCTGGCCGGGGAAATGGGAGCCGGAGTGGGGCGCTGTTTCAGGCCGATGCGTTTCACAGCAGGTGCACTGTTCCCCATGCTCCCCGACACTCCCCGGCTGGTGGGGGGAGGACGGCGTGATGAGGCGGTGATGTACCCATCAGAGGAGCAGCCGGGGCAGACCCCTTCCCTGAAGGGCAGTAATGTGAATGGAATGTCGCTGAGAAATACACTGTCATTGCTTCCGGTGACTGAGATTCGGGGACGACTGGTTATGGTGGCAGCAGCAGACCGGTGCCGGCTAGTATAGGACATGATAAATGCAGGGTCCTTGCCATGGCCATGCCCGTGAGTGCTTAAAAAATACGCTAGGGCTGAAAACATACACAGATGTTTGAGTAAAGGAACTAGTATATGCTTCCAAACTGGAGCTGCTTTTTTTTTTCATGTTTTCGCCATAGGGTCCGTGTGCTCACCAGCGAGACACAGAGAGAGGGAAAGTGAGAAACCACACCCCCAGGAGGGATGGCCATGCAGCTATCCCTCCTCCATTCTCCTTTAGGGATTTTCAAGCTGCTGGGTCCAGGACTCGAACTGTGGTCGACCATGTGGGATCTGGTACCTTAACCACCATACCACCAGCTGGCCCAGGAGTTGCTCTCTCTAAGGGAAGCTGGTGACAACTCTCCTGCTCCTTGATAGTGAATGTGAGTGCCTATTACAGATGCCCCTGCTGGCCAGGTTACATCCGCCTGGGCAACAGGGATGGCTGCTCTTTACGAGGGTTTCTCTCACCTGCTCAAGGACGCAGTGTCACCCATGCACACCTCACACGTCTTTCAAGATACCACCCTGCCATTCCTGACTGAAGTTCATGGGCACTGGGGCTCTCAGTTGTGCTTGCCAGGGCAGCTCCCATCTGGAGAGCCAGACTCACAGCGAAATGACCTTGGAGCGCCCCTGGAGCCTCCACCTGCAGGGAGGAGTTTGGAAAGAAGGAATCAGATGCAACTAAAAGCTGTCCTCCAGTCCGAGGAAGTGCGGGGCCTTTGTAGGAGCTGCTTAGCAGAAACTGGACTAACCCGGGGAGGACAGATAGGCCTCAAGCCAACGCAGCTGAGGACTGACATGGGCAGCCACTGTCGCGCGCACGCAGGCCTGTCGCATACCAAGGTGGCACCTCGAGTCTGCTGTGCTCCAGGCAGCAACCTGATGAGGTCCCGTGGTAGGAGTCATTATTGCCTCCCTTTTACAGAAAGGAAGCTAAGGCTCAGAGTAGGGAGGTGAGTTTTGCAAGACACCTCACAGCACCTAGAGGAGGCGGTTCAGTCACGGGTACCAGGGACTTGCTCGGAACTTTCCCTCTGCTGGCTGAGGGAGAGACAGAGCTTTTTGGGTTTTCCACATCACATTAAAGACCCTTTTTCCTCCTGTTGACATCTTCCACTTGGAGAAGCAGGTATATGGCATAGTCACCCAAAAAGTCTTTTTTTTTTAATTTAATAAGTTTATTATTATTATTATTTTAATATGTCCAGAGAGAGACAGAGAAAGATGGAAATTGAGAAAGCAAGCTGCCAGGTTCAGGACTCAAAGCATGATTGGCCATGTGGGAATCCAGCACCCTAACCACCACACTACCTGCTGGCCCTGCACCCAAAAAGTCTTTAGAGATTGCTCCCCACAGCTGTAAAATATTTTTTAAATAAAAAGAGAGAGAGAGAAAGGAAAAGTCACCTCAGAACCCAACCAGCCCCAAGGAAAGGGGGGAAGGAGAAAGCATTGCTCTGAAGTACTGAGCCCCTGGCCCACTGAAAAGGGAGGTGTGGGCACCAGTGGTCTCTAGAAGCTGCACACCAGGTAGGCAGTCAGTCACTCCGGAGTGGACCCTGGGCAAGAGCTGGAAACTAGCTAGGGTTGAGTCCCCGAAGCGAGGCAAATGGATGGGGAGAGCAAGTTCTAGGCCTGGTGGTGGGAGGTGGACACCCAGGGAATCCGAGGTGCTGGAGCACCTCACTCCATGGTGTTTGCGTGGGTCTCGGAACAAGCACAGTGATGGGGCCAGCGGGCAACGTGGGTTAAGGCATTGGACGCCCACATGGCCGACTGGAGGAGAAGGGATGGTAGCATGGCCATCCCCTCCAGGGGGTGCTTTCTTACTTTCCCCCTCACTGTCTCTCTGTCTCTCTCCTCTTAGGAGAGTGCCTGCATCCACTGGCAAAAATCTTGAAAACTAAACAAACAAAAGAACATGCGGAGTGGCCACAGAGCCCTGCAGGGTGGGCATCCTGGTCGTACTTTCCTTTTCTGGCTGACGCGGGGCTGGCTCTCACTCACTCAGCTGACATTGCGGTAGTTTTCACGTCTCCGGCTCTAGACCTCTGGAAGCTGCCTCCTACCAGGATTCCGAGCTGGCCCAGAAGCTGCCGTGTCATCTCCGTTGAGCCTCGTGACTCAGCAAGGAAGGCGGTTCCTTCCCGGAGCACTGCTGGAGAAATAGAGGCTCTGGAAGGCGAAGACATTTTGCTAAGGACCATGACTAGTAAGCGCCGGTGCTCAGATTCCAAATCTCAGGCTATTTCGTGCTGCTCCTCAAGCTCCTAAGAAAGATCCACACAGAACAATCCCCTGGGGTCATATTTTTAAAAGTTGGCCACCTCTATGAGCAGAGACTCTAAAAGAGCCAGTGATAAGATTCCACCTCTCTGCTCTGCTGAAATACAGTGAACACGTACGAGGGCAACAGTGCAGAAAGCCACTTGCCCCAGTGCCCTTGCCAGAGACAAACAAATAACCCTTATTTGCAAGTTCAGTTCAATATTAACTCAGCACCCAAGGGCGCTGTCCAATACAAGCAGGCAAAGTCCTGCTCTTTAGCTCAGAAGTAAGCAAAGGCACCTAAACACCCCAGGTGCTACCCTCACAGGCTGAGAACCTCCTGAACAGGGCCCCTTCCCCTCACATCACAGCATTCCCATAAAGGCACAGCGAGTGCCTGCATACCCGGGAGAGCAGTGAGCGCCCCTGCGGGTCAGTCGTGCTGAAATCTCCTGGCACAAGGAACCCCCTGCAGGAAGCGGTTCTGCTTCTGCAAGTCCACATAGGTGTCGCTACTCTCAGTCCTGGCCTCACCACTCTGACCAGAGACTCCACATCTCCATGGCCTCTGAAGAGGCACAGCCCCCCTCAGCTGGCCCGCGATGGGAGCCACCTCTTCCGGGTACACCCCAGCTTCCGCTCTAGTAAAGGAACTAGTATATGCTTCCAAACTGGAGCTGCTTTTTTTTTTCATGTTTTCGCCATAGGGTCCGTGTGCTCACCAGCGAGACACAGAGAGAGGGAAAGTGAGAAACCACACCCCCAGGAGGGATGGCCATGCAGCTATCCCTCCTCCATTCTCCTTTAGGGATTTTCAAGCTGCTGGGTCCAGGACTCGAACTGTGGTCGACCATGTGGGATCTGGTACCTTAACCACCATACCACCAGCTGGCCCAGGAGTTGCTCTCTCTAAGGGAAGCTGGTGACAACTCTCCTGCTCCTTGATAGTGAATGTGAGTGCCTATTACAGATGCCCCTGCTGGCCAGGTTACATCCGCCTGGGCAACAGGGATGGCTGCTCTTTACGAGGGTTTCTCTCACCTGCTCAAGGACGCAGTGTCACCCATGCACACCTCACACGTCTTTCAAGATACCACCCTGCCATTCCTGACTGAAGTTCATGGGCACTGGGGCTCTCAGTTGTGCTTGCCAGGGCAGCTCCCATCTGGAGAGCCAGACTCACAGCGAAATGACCTTGGAGCGCCCCTGGAGCCTCCACCTGCAGGGAGGAGTTTGGAAAGAAGGAATCAGATGCAACTAAAAGCTGTCCTCCAGTCCGAGGAAGTGCGGGGCCTTCGTAGGAGCTGCTTAGCAGAAACTGGACTAACCCGGGGAGGACAGATAGGCCTCAAGCCAACGCAGCTGAGGACTGACATGGGCAGCCACTGTCGCGCGCACGCAGGCCTGTCGCATACCAAGGTGGCACCTCGAGTCTGCTGTGCTCCAGGCAGCAACCTGATGAGGTCCCGTGGTAGGAGTCATTATTGCCTCCCTTTTACAGAAAGGAAGCTAAGGCTCAGAGTAGGGAGGTGAGTTTTGCAAGACACCTCACAGCACCTAGAGGAGGCGGTTCAGTCACGGGTACCAGGGACTTGCTCGGAACTTTCCCTCTGCTGGCTGAGGGAGAGACAGAGCTTTTTGGGTTTTCCACATCACATTAAAGACCCTTTTTCCTCCTGTTGACATCTTCCACTTGGAGAAGCAGGTATATGGCATAGTCACCCAAAAAGTCTTTTTTTTTTAATTTAATAAGTTTATTATTATTATTATTTTAATATGTCCAGAGAGAGACAGAGAAAGATGGAAATTGAGAAAGCAAGCTGCCAGGTTCAGGACTCAAAGCATGATTGGCCATGTGGGAATCCAGCACCCTAACCACCACACTACCTGCTGGCCCTGCACCCAAAAAGTCTTTAGAGATTGCTCCCCACAGCTGTAAAATATTTTTTAAATAAAAAGAGAGAGAGAGAAAGGAAAAGTCACCTCAGAACCCAACCAGCCCCAAGGAAAGGGGGGAAGGAGAAAGCATTGCTCTGAAGTACTGAGCCCCTGGCCCACTGAAAAGGGAGGTGTGGGCACCAGTGGTCTCTAGAAGCTGCACACCAGGTAGGCAGTCAGTCACTCCGGAGTGGACCCTGGGCAAGAGCTGGAAACTAGCTAGGGTTGAGTCCCCGAAGCGAGGCAAATGGATGGGGAGAGCAAGTTCTAGGCCTGGTGGTGGGAGGTGGACACCCAGGGAATCCGAGGTGCTGGAGCACCTCACTCCATGGTGTTTGCGTGGGTCTCGGAACAAGCACAGTGATGGGGCCAGCGGGCAACGTGGGTTAAGGCATTGGACGCCCACATGGCCGACTGGAGGAGAAGGGATGGTAGCATGGCCATCCCCTCCAGGGGGTGCTTTCTTACTTTCCCCCTCACTGTCTCTCTGTCTCTCTCCTCTTAGGAGAGTGCCTGCATCCACTGGCAAAAATCTTGAAAACTAAACAAACAAAAGAACATGCGGAGTGGCCACAGAGCCCTGCAGGGTGGGCATCCTGGTCGTACTTTCCTTTTCTGGCTGACGCGGGGCTGGCTCTCACTCACTCAGCTGACATTGCGGTAGTTTTCACGTCTCCGGCTCTAGACCTCTGGAAGCTGCCTCCTACCAGGATTCCGAGCTGGCCCAGAAGCTGCCGTGTCATCTCCGTTGAGCCTCGTGACTCAGCAAGGAAGGCGGTTCCTTCCCGGAGCACTGCTGGAGAAATAGAGGCTCTGGAAGGCGAAGACATTTTGCTAAGGACCATGACTAGTAAGCGCCGGTGCTCAGATTCCAAATCTCAGGCTATTTCGTGCTGCTCCTCAAGCTCCTAAGAAAGATCCACACAGAACAATCCCCTGGGGTCATATTTTTAAAAGTTGGCCACCTCTATGAGCAGAGACTCTAAAAGAGCCAGTGATAAGATTCCACCTCTCTGCTCTGCTGAAATACAGTGAACACGTACGAGGGCAACAGTGCAGAAAGCCACTTGCCCCAGTGCCCTTGCCAGAGACAAACAAATAACCCTTATTTGCAAGTTCAGTTCAATATTAACTCAGCACCCAAGGGCGCTGTCCAATACAAGCAGGCAAAGTCCTGCTCTTTAGCTCAGAAGTAAGCAAAGGCACCTAAACACCCCAGGTGCTACCCTCACAGGCTGAGAACCTCCTGAACAGGGCCCCTTCCCCTCACATCACAGCATTCCCATAAAGGCACAGCGAGTGCCTGCATACCCGGGAGAGCAGTGAGCGCCCCTGCGGGTCAGTCGTGCTGAAATCTCCTGGCACAAGGAACCCCCTGCAGGAAGCGGTTCTGCTTCTGCAAGTCCACATAGGTGTCGCTACTCTCAGTCCTGGCCTCACCACTCTGACCAGAGACTCCACATCTCCATGGCCTCTGAAGAGGCACAGCCCCCCTCAGCTGGCCCGCGATGGGAGCCACCTCTTCCGGGTACACCCAAGCTTCCGCTCTCGGGGGCCTTCCGTGCTATCTCCACTTGTTACCTGCCCCCTGGCTGAGAGCCACGCACCCTGAGCCTGTGCCACTGCTGCTGTGGACACTCTGGGTGGCAGCGAGGAACAGGGTAGAGACAGATGTCAGCTGGTGCTGCTGGAGGAGGGCTCGGCCGTTCCCTGAACATGCTGACAGCTCAATTCTCAGCCAACTCGCCTTTCCAACAGGGTCATAAAAATAAATGACTTATCTGGAAACCTAATTCTCTTCCTTGGCTAAATCCCCCTACTCAGTGTTATGTTCAAATCGTATTGTTGCTGCCAATAACCTCAACCGCTAGAACACGTGAGAAGTAAAAAGAAAAACCTCCAGATGGTATCCTCCACTTAGAAAATTGACAGCGTAGGGACAATAATAAGTTTCAGGCTGACGGCTCCGACCACAATACCGGAGCCTAAAATAAACCAGACAAGTGGGCCCAGATGAAATGACACAGACAACAAGACCTCTCTCATCTGCACTTCCCAATCAAGTTCAGTCCTATCTGCAAATATACCATCACTCTATTGATTCTTATTAGGCTTAGGGACTAACGGCCACCCCCAAACCCCAGAGCCTTCCCGTATGTCGCTTTCTTCTAGAAGGACCCTCCTGCCCAATTCATTCCTACATAAGCTCAAGGTTAGCCTCCCGGTTTCCCCAGCCCTGAACCTCAGTAGAATGAATTGTTCTTCCCCTTATTGGCTTCTGTTTTTAGCATAGTTCTCTGAGGGTGCCTACCACATTTCATTGTGCTTAGCTCTTTCAAACATCCAAATACCTCAAGTTGTTCCAAAGCAGAAAACATTTTATAATCCCCAAACCTGCCTTACAATAGCTACTCGGCAAGTGTTTATTGAATGAATTAATGAGTGCCTGGATGAAATAACTACACAATCGTAAACTTTTTTGAAAAGTTGTAATGTTTTTCTTTCTACAGTGAGAGAGACTGCATCCCCAACAGGGTCTTGACTCTGAGACCCAGCCCGAGCTTCAGACAGCCCCAGATGGTGGGCAGGCAGGCGTATGAGGTACTAAAGGAGATCCCTGAACGCAAACCCAGAACCCTCCATGCGGGCTAATCGCTGATCCTCATGGCGCCCTAATGTAGGAAAGAGTATCACCCTCCCCCTCCACAGACGACGTAAGCCCTGGGGCAGTCTCATTCACTCACCTCACTTACGCCTCCTGTGTGTAAGGCTCCGTCTACAGTAAGGCTTCTCGCATGCCCGTGTGCACATGCATTGTCTGGGGAGTGTAAAGCAGATTGAGGTGGGGCCTGAAACTGCATTTCTAACAAATTCTCCCGAGGCTGAGACAGAAAATCTTCAATCCATGTGAGTATTTACTAGGAACTGCAGTCTTTGGAACTGAGGAAGGAGCACATTGAGACAGTAGCATGCCCTTTTACAGCTGCAGAAACCGAGGGTCAGAGAGACGGAGTGACTTCTCCCAGGTCCCAATACATCCTTTGGTCACCGGCTCAAAGCTGCCTCAACGCCGCTGCTGCTCTGCGGGCTGGGAGGCCGTCAGGTGAGGGCGCTGTCTCCTGTCCTCACACAGGTGAGGCACGTGGGGAAAACACGGGCACTGGACGAGGGAATGGGAGAGCCGAGACCACACGTG